AAAATATTGCGAATCTCCCATCCCAAAGCTACATTTCAATCCCAATAAAGAGCTGCTGCAGGTTGCATATTGCCGGTTGCAGGTGGTTGTCGCGGCAACATCATGCAAGCCACTAACCAGTTGGATGAAGTTACCTTGCCTCGACACCTATTTGGCAACAATCACCACTTACCACCCACTCACAGCCTGCCACATGCCAGACCACCCATAACACACAACGCCTGCCCTTTGACACGCAAGGTTGCGTTTGAAAGAAATTAATACACTTTCAGCTATTTTCCCGCCCAGCGTTTTTACCTTATTGCCCTCGCCGTTTGCCATGGTTGAACTTGCCGCTTTCGGTTGCATATGAAAAAAACACTCGAAAAAAAGTTTCCTTAAAAATAAATTAAGAAAAAGAATGACGAGTAAGATTATTAATGGAAAGATATAGATAAGGTCTTCTTAAATTTGAATTTCATTTATAAGTTCCTTATGATTAAAATATTTTAGGATAGTTTCTTCAAGTGCAAGTGCATTTGCCTCCCCCTTTCATTCGTTTGGCATTTGTATGGCCTCTCTGCGACTTATTTTCGAAACGTGCCATTTTAATTGCATAATTTTGGATTTATTTTTTATGCCAATGGCTTTCCCCGCCTGTCAGCTGGCAAAGTCCCCTTGCAAAGTCCTGTCATCACGACGCAGGGAGGAGGGAGAAAACATCCATTAGATTCTTGCCATAATAATGGGGTACGGGCCGGCCAATAAAAATAAAAATGAATTTTCAAATTGTGCGCATTTAATGAGTGCCGCATGTGCGTTTTTAATTAATAACAAAGCACGATGGGTAAGGATTGCTGCCGCAACCTAGTCCTGCATACAGTATATAGTAGCATAGTCACACAGGCATGAGCTGGCAGGAAACTGTATTAGTTTATTAAAATAATTTCCCGGGGCGATGCTGGCATGCAATTGCACTGCCATGCATTTGCAGTGCCCGGCGGAAGCCAAATATTCCGCTAAACCAAAGCCAAGCGAAATGTTCACATTCAATATTGGATTACGGGGACTAATTACGCGTAGAATGAATTTCACAGGCGTTGCGGCCGTTGCCGTAGCATTTCTCGTTCGCACTGGGCTCCTGTAATTTTTAAATCCGTAAAAGGCTGCGAAATCACAACAAATTTAATCATGTTAATATAATTACTAAAAATTAAGCCATAATCAACACAGGCGCGCGGCAGAGTCGAGGGATTCAAAGGCAAACACCTGCCAACAAATGGCAAACGGCAAACAACAAAGAGGGTGTCGGTGCTAAAGGGGGAAGAGTGTGGGGCTTGGGAATGGGAACATAACACCAAAACGACCCAAATTATTTTTAATTCCCCGCAGGATAAGCATAAGCACACACAGCGAGCCGGCTGACTCCAGAGGCCTTGACTTCCTTGCTGTTTCGGTTGCTGTTGCTGCAATTTATCCAAAGCGAGCGTCAAAGCCGCGTGCTGCGAATATTAACGAAATGATTATGGAATTCATAATTACGCACACACGGACACCCACCCACACACTCTCTTATAGAACATGGCCATGTTGGTCCCGTTGTGTATTGTAAAATGCGTCAACACATTTGCCAGCCGGCGGCAACAACGGTCCCAGCGGATCAGAGGTCGTCAGACAATGAGTCTGAGGCATGGCCGACATGGCGCATACGCAATTTCCAGCGCCTTACTTGGCTCCTCAAATATTTGTGGCATATATGTGTAGAGCGTGATTAAATTAAATGTCGGGCAAGTTCGATTCGAGCCAGGCGACACAACTAATTAAAAACGCCCAACGCAAGTACGTGAGCGGGACTACGAGGAGTTGGCTCTGTCGAATTCGATATCGGATTAAGGTCAATGACCCACTGCTGACCAATAACCACAGACGGCGTTAGGAATCTATAGAAAGAATTAATCAGAAAAGTTTTCTGAGATGTTCAGAGCATTTTCCTCAAATGAAAGTTGTCAAAATTAGTCAAACGATAGTCAAGCTGTGAAAATAATTGGTTTTAAATGTTTTCATACTTCTCATCCACTTCATAATTCTTGGTCAATATTTATGTTTAAAAAATACAAATAAATTAGTTTTTTGTTGTATTTATGTTCTTTAATATTATTACTTAAAAAATTTCAATAATATGAAATTACTATTAATTTAAACACAATTGTTAAATATGTATATAATATACAATACAGGTCAAGCCACATAATGCGATTATTGTTCATAGCATTTCTGACTTTGTGGCTCTCTCGGCATTCTGTTCTGTTGTGGATAATTCAATAAATTGCAATTCCATGCGGCTAACTCGCCCCCTGGGTATTTAGATGGCAAATCAAATGCACTTAACTAAACTAAATGTTGCCACAGTCGGTTCAATTTCGGCCAGCCCGGAATGTAGGCAACGATTCGCTCGCAGCATAAATTTCGTTTGAGTGAAAAAGGGAAAAATTTTTTTAGAAAAATACGGAGCAAAGCGATTTTGCTTTTTCGCCCACCTCGCAGCAAAAAGTTTTTTAAGTTAATTGAAATTCGGCCAGGACCCAGGACCGAAAAAGGGTATAAACGAAACACATACCTTGTAAACAGTTGGAAATTGGCAGAGATCCCTCGGTCCAGTATACCAATTCACCCAGAAAAAGGCTTTGGGCTTCAGTTTCCGTATGATCAGAACCATGGGGTCCATGAGGAAAGGATATTTATATCCCTGTGCGTAGGCATCGACTTGTTGAATAGCCCTCGAATATGTTTTGACCAGAAACCCGGGCGGGCGGGTCTAGCTTCCATGGAAAACAGCAAACAGTTTAGTCAGTGCCCGGCAATGTGCTTAAGTCTCATTTATTTTTCATGGCCTGGCCTATAAAAATTGTAATTTCATTACCACCGACAGGCGGTTACGGGAAAGGTGAGCCAGCAGTTTTCAGGTTTTCCGGAGGGGGCGGTAGTCTTGGAAGTAGCAAGTGCAAAAATTGAAACACACTTGAAAAATGAAGGTGGCCGGAAACACACACCCCACACAACATGGGCAAACACGACCCAAAACCACCACCAGTCAGGACCAAAGGTGGCCGAACACTGTCTGCTGGCTGTTGCCTTTTTATGAATTTTTAAAAATGTTGCTGTTTTGGCGGCTGCCGGCGCTGATTTCGCAGTCATGGGCAGCTGGACCCAAATGCCCGGCCACTTGTTAGCTGTTTTACGTTCCCACAATCGGTGTGGAGTGTGTCCGAAGCCGGGAGTGTGTGTGCGGCCAAGGTACTTAACTTAAATGGCATATACACTCCTTCAGCTGGAAGGAGTCCCTCCCTCACCTCCAGCTGGGGCTGGCCAGTCGACATCAATTTAAATTGAATTTTCACTTACCTGCGGTTCGGTCTTGGCTCCTTCTTGGGTTTTGGTATGCAGGCCAGACACCCGGCAATTTACGTCCTGAATTAGTCTAATGTAAAATTTAAAACCCGACTCTGGCATTTCCTTTTCGCTCAGGTTTGTTTTTATATCCTATCTACTGTATATACACATTTTATTGGGCGTGGGCCGGCGCAGAAGGGCAGTCAATCCAAGCTAATTGATTACGCCCGACATTTAATTAGCAGCGAATATTTTTGTAGCATTGCGGCGTGGCTTTTGAGCATATTCATCATGCTTTGATGGGCACTGGTCCGCCCGGTCCCCGGGTGACCTGGGCCCGCTTCAATGTCACCAATTATGCTAATTAGAGGTGCCTTCAACGGAGTTGAAAAGCTCAACAATGCGCACAAAATGTCTCCGGGCGGCGGCAGTGGGTTAAGGGTTGAGGGTTAAGGATGCCGGGCAGGTGGTGGTGGCTATTATTAAACGGAAAATTGACAGGATGCCTCAAAACGAGCCGAGGCTCAAAAAAGGGCTAACTAACTTTGCTGGAAGGGGCGGGTCAATTGACAGCAAAGGCGTAATTATCAAAATATGTAGAAAATGGCTCGGATGCTCCGGACCCGAGTAACCTTCTCGAGAATTGACGAATTAACATAAGAATGGTTACCGAAGTGAACAGCAGCAGCAGCCAGGGCAGGAAGTAATGTGAAAGGATAACGTTTGCAGGATAACGCTGTGGGCGGGCACAAATCCAAATTGGCGCATATCTTAAGCCCTCGGGCGGTAACGAACCTGTTGATGAATCAAACACAAAATTCAAATTTTAGCCCGGCACTGGGCGTGTCCTTGCACACAGTATCTGGCTGCGTCTGCTTAACGCTAGCTGCACTAATTCAATTAAATATTTGTCTTTGTAGTTTTTGTCGAAGGGAATAGACAGCAGGCAGCAGGAAAATATGACGAGGGCACTGTCAGTCAGTCAGCCAGCGTCAGTGAGCCAGACATCTAGTCAGCCCAGTCCTGGAGCCCAGGAATCCAAGACAAAGACAAAGAAAGCCAAGGCTGGCTGACGGCTGCCTGCCTGCCAGCGAGGATAAACAGAAAGCCGTAGCGGGTCTCCGGATTGTCTCCGGGATAATGCAAATATTGTCGAGCAAGGAGCTTTCACTCAAAAAGTGAGAGCATGCCAAGAAGCGGATGCTAGCGGATGGCGGCTGGAAGGAATGAATTTATTGCTTTTGGGAATTTTCCACTTGATGGCATTTAATGCGATTTAGTATTTAAATGAAGCAGCGTTGTAGCTGGAATCTGGAATTGGAGTTGGGCCGTGAGCACGGGCACGGGACGGGACAACAAAGACGATAAACTCATTCGGGCGCATTAAATTAATCTCAGTCGGGGCAGCAACATCGACCAAATCTCATAGTACGGCCTCGATAATACCAACCCGAGAGAATTGGTTTCATTTTCAGGACCAAGTCTAGTTCGCTGATTGCAACGGTCACAGGTGAGTGCAGCGACAGTGACAGGTCAATCTAAAAATCTAAATTCAATCTAAAAACCTAGCCATCCCCTTTTATATTGTAAGTATTTTCCACCCAAAAAAGAGCTTTGTTTTTGCTGTGATTTTTATTATTTTAAAATAGCGTATCATGACAATATATGTTAGTTGAATAAATAAATAAATAATTCGAGTTTCGAAAAAGCTTACATAAATCTAGTCACCAAGCTATGCCGGCTTATGTGCGCATCCTAATTAATTGTGAGAGTATGTATGTATATAATCATTTTCATAAACTGTAACTATTCTATTTGGTTAACAAATAAGCCTAGCTGCCAACTGGCGATTGCATAATTCAATTAAAGCGCCTGCATTAATGCGAATGCAAATAGAAGCAAAATAATTGACTTTCAATAATGTAGACGCCCGGCCTGGCCAGAAAAATAAATATTAAAATTAACTTAAACTCGCTACCCGTCACATGCACGAAAAACTAGACAGAATTATGCACAAATTATGCTAATTGCAAATAATCAAAATATGTGGGGAAACAAAGTATTCCTAATTAAACCACCACCCGGTACAAAATAAATAATTGATATCGATGCATGGTTTTAAAACTAGATTTAGAAACAAAATAAATCGGACGAGGTCGAAAGATTTTTAACTTGGCTGCGTGGTGAAGAGAAAAAACTTTCAAGGAGGCCTATGGCTAATCGGGGCTCTTAAGATTACGCTTTTGTTTTCTTTTTAACATTTGTTCGCTTATTAAGTGGTTCATAGAACTTACTTTTGATATATCATAGATATATGGTTCCTAAAATTACCGCAACACCTTCATGCTGCCCGACACAGGATGCTCGAGAATGGAGAGAACTTGGGGAATCTCACAGAGCTGTTAGCTGAACACTTGGCCAATTTCGCCTCGGACTACTAATGGCGCTCCAGCTCTGTGTGAAAACCCGCAAGAAATTTCCGGGGAGACATCCTGCGCTGATTTAGGCAACAGTTGAATAAAGATGTCGCCGGTAAATCAAAACATACGCATCTGCAGTCGAACGACCGGCTGCAGGATGCGGATTAGACTGCCGCTAGACTGGAATCGGAATTCGAGGGGAGGGGGTAACTTAAAACCTCTGCCCCGGCGAACTTACCTTCGCCTGGAGGACCTGGGTTTGAGCCTTAAGCCTAGAGCCAAACTTAATCGATGCACGAACTTACCTTCGTGCCTAACAAGATGGGTGTTATGTACAAGAACTACTGGAACTACAACTCGCTAGGCCCCAGCGGCTAGTCGAGCGTAGTCGGGAGGACAACAAGGTGGGTCTGGGTCACGGGTTAACAAGGGGGACAACCCTTACAACTAGCAATAAATAGCCCTAAACTAATGATTATCCAAAGGTAAAGGACCGTTATTGGCTGTAGGGATGACAGAACTGGTAGACCAACCTCTGCGATCGCTCCGTCTTCTTCATGATGCCCTTCTTGTAGTACTGCCTGATGGAACGGGACAGCTTGTCGTAGTTCATCGCCGGACGATTCTTGCGCCGACCCCATAGCTTGGCCACTCGCACGGAGTCCTCGATCTTGAAGATTCCCTTGCTGCGATCGATCCAACGAATGGCAGTTCCATTCACCTGCGGGGCGCCCAGCAGTTCCTTAAGGAACTGCCACAGATGGATATGAGATCCACCACTTCCAGTACGTGAACCGTTTGAACGCTTTGTTCCTGGGGTGGGCGTGGTCGTGTTCGTTGCAGTGGCGCTGCTGTTGACAGGAGTGACGGTCACCTCTGGCTCCATTTCATCATCATCTAAGCACAAGAAATCCAAACATTATTATTAATAAGAATGGTTTTTCTTGCAAATTTTCTTTGTTTTCTAACCCACCTTCGCTGTCCTCGTTGTAGTCCATGTCCAAATTGGGAATCCCATAGTTGGTAGGCCAAAGATCAGCCGGGGCGGACTGGTGTGACTGCTGGTTCTGCTGATGCGGCTGATGAGCGGGCTGGTCCGCATAGGCCATCTTCCAAATCTCCAGCTGGGCGTGCAGCGTACTCCCACTCTGGAAATGGAGAAGTGAAAAGAAAAAGCCGAGAGTGAGACATTTCGATTGGGCACAACTTAGCCTAAGCCTTAATCCTGGCCAGATCTCAATCTAGACGGCATATCAATTGGGAATTCTTTGGCTATCCAAGTGCATAAATTATGCGCACCTCGACGAAGCGAGCTGCATTTCCACAACCACAACCGAGTCGAACAGACAGCAGCAACCAGAGACCATGGCGACGACTTACTTTCACCTTGCAATGTCGTTGCTGGTCGTTGGCTCAGTTCGAGTTTTGGTTCGAGTCTCCCCCCAACTCAGCTCTTCCCCAGATACCCGCCAACCCACCGCCCAGTCATCTGAGCTGCTGCTACGGCTACGATGGCTCGTAATCATCCATCCAAGTGCTGCAGTTTCACCAAACAACCTTCACACATTCTTTCACCTTTACAGCCATGACCACGGTTACTAATTTTGTTTCTTTTTCTTCTGTTGCTTTTTTTGTCAGGTTTTCATTTTTTATTTATTTTTTTTTTTCGGTGTTGACTGCTCTCCGATTTCGGTCGCCCGCTCACGTTCGTTGCCTAAGTCTTTTGTTTTGGTTTTTATTTTTCTCCTCTGCGGAGCTGCCATGCTGCCTTGCTGCAGTAGCAACATCGGCTAACAAGCCTAAGCGAATGTAATCATTGATATATTTTTGGCAAAACTCTCGGAGCATGTGCTTCGGATGTGGAGTAGTTTTGGCTGATTGCTGATGGCTGATGCCTGCTCTGCCTAATTGCTGCCAACAGGTTTTTTGAGTTTGTGAGGCTTGAGTCTTAAGTTTTGTATCTTGAGCTTTGAGTTTTAAGTTTTGCGTTTTGCTTTCTGATTTTTTTCAAATTTTTTTTTTTGTATTAATGATTGCTGACTGGGCCCAGAGCATGTAAGCCGCTCTGACTCTGGCTGGCAGCCATGACGTCAACACGCCAGTTACGAAACTTGTTTCGTTTTAGTTTTCGTTTCAATTCGATTCGTTTTGTTTTGCTTTTTGTTATTGTTTTTGTTGTTTTTTTTCCCATTTCCATTTCCATTCCATTTCGCCCCGTACGCGAAATTCAATTCAATCGCATTGATTGGCCTCTCCATATTGGATTTCTGGCGGCGCTCGGCTCTTTGCCTTAGCCATTTGCATTGTATTATTGTTTTATGCGTCGCCGAGTGATCGATTTTGTAATATACCCAACTATTTTGGCACTCGCCCAGTTAAGTCATGCGTTTTGGAGACCACGACCATGCTTTTTGAGTGACTCTTACAGCCTTAACACTTTTAACACTTAATTATTGACTAAATCTGTTTAAGACATTTTTTACGACTGGTTTTTTTCCTTCAAGATTTTTAAATCTTTCTTGTTAAGGAATATGTGAATAATACAGATTTCTCTGATTCAGATAGTAATCGAAAACTATTTAAAAAGTAACGCACATTCCTTACTACTGGCTTTACTACTAATCTGTAATATTTTTTTCATATTCTATTACTTTTTAAGTTCCTTAACTTTTAATTATAACAGAAAACTGTACCTCATCTTAAACTTTTTCAATAACTTGTTAACGATTCTTTTTCAATTTCTATGGTTTCCAAACTTTTTTTTCAAGGCTTATATATTTGCGATGATTAAGTAATAGACTCACCTCAGGCATGCGGCGGACAAATTCCTCTTCGCTGAGTAATGTCAGAGCAGCGCCGTTTTCGCAGAATTGCAATTCCAAGTCGGTCACCGGGGGTAATCCAAACTGAGCCAAGGTGGACCGAAGCCATGCATGAACTTGGGCGGGCGACCAGCCATTTGGATCTGGAATAAAATAGTGATTATAGCAAACCAAAGATAGGAGGTCCTAATTCAAGCTCACCCTGCGATATTTGCAGCTCCGCGCAAATGGCGTCGGCCTCCCGCTTTGCATGCTCCAGGGCCAGTGAGATCACAGGCTCAAAGTCTCCACGCACCTCGGCCAAACCGCCAATGAAGGATTCCAGTGCCAGTGGCTTCAGATTGTGCCGCTTCTGGAAGCTCGTGTCCTCCAGGCACTCGCGGAGCAATTGGTGATCGGGCTTGGTGTCAGTTGGAGGGCTTTGGATATTCTGTTGCTGGAGCAGCGAGTTAAGGTCAATCAGACTCTCAATGTCTGCATCCAGGGGCTCGGATTTTATGTTCTCTCCGCAGGAAGAGCGAGGCGAGGGAGTCTCGCAGTTGGACTCAGGCGGTGAAGGTGGCAGGATGTGCAGCTCCTGCTTGATCTCCAGCGAGGGGGAGGGGCTGCTCAAGCTGTTAAGACTGTCGTAGCTGCCTCCGAATTTTCCAAAACCAAAAGCGGCGAACTCGGACTGCAGGGGACTGGACTGTGGGGAGGGGTAGGCGCTGTGCGGATAGGCGGGCGGAGGTGGTATCAGCTGGTGGGAGGAGGTCCTGTAGGAAGGAGTCTGTTGCTGATGCTGTGACTGCTGTTGTTGCTGCTGCGGGCCGTCCCAGGCGCACTCGACCTTGATCTGGGGGGCGTTGTACTGGAAAACAGTAGTGGGAATGGGGGCAGGAGCGGGATCCTGCGGCAACAGCGATAGGTCGAAGTGATCGGCATAGGACGCGAACTGATCCGGCGGCGTCTGGGCCTGGAACTGAAGTGGTTTCAGCTGCGGGCTGTGCGGCATCTGCAATGGACAAGACGGTAACCAAGAATTTAGTACAAGAATCAGGGTTAGAGTAGAAACTGGGGCCGCTAATTGAAAATCAAAACACCAAAGGCAGGCGCCATCTTGACGGGGTCTCACTAATTATCAGGCCAAAAACAACAAAAACGATCCGATCTTAGCTGCCAAATTGCGGCCACCTGTCTTAATTATCACGCCCATGAAAGTTAATTGTTTTTATATCGCTGCTTCTCTGGTTTTTGGTTGGAATTTGCTTGCGTATTTATTGTATGGCCGCCTTTCTAATTCGTACTCGCACCTACCTGACCAGCAACAATGTATGGAAATTTTTTCGAATGCGACTACAAATTCGGTTTCTGTTTTCGGACTTGGGATCTCTGTTTCTGTTTCGGTTTCTGTTTGTTGTTTGTTGATGAATTCGAGCTTGGATTGTTCTTAACCTTAGATTTCCAGCGGGGCGATGTATGGTGGCGAGATGCGAAGCCGCCGATACAAGAGCAAGTTAGGTACTAAGCCCGATGTGCCATTGATTTTCTCATTTATCAAGCTGCGACTTCGGCTTGTGACGCCACAAAAAAACCCAAAGCCCCCTAGACGAGGGCAGGGCTCTGTCTAAATCCACTCTGTGTGCTTTTTTTTACGAGCTCCAAACAATGACTAGATCAAAATCAAAGCGTTCTCTCTCATACATTTCTGTACCTCATCTCGCAGTTTTTCTGTATTTTCTGTACTTTTTTTTTTTGTTTTCTTCTCTATTTGCAAAGCGTCATAAAAGAAGGCAATGCTAATATAGCCTGAATGCGCTACCAATTTTTAGCTGCGAGAAACTGGTTTTTCATTAAGCAACCCAATGCATCGACAGTGTCGCATGGGGCCTGTATAGCGAAAATGAATATCGATGGGGGCCAAAGGGACAGGGAGCCCATTACTATGCGCTGTGCGCTTATTATTAATAAAACAGCTCATACTGGATTTTCCGACAAGTACTTTCAGTTCTGGCCTCTCTGGGGGCGAGAGGCTGCTGAGTATTATTATTGTTATTGGCTCGGCGACGACGCCATAATTCTAACTAGTCACGATGTTATTACAATTTCCACTCGTATGTTTTAATTGTTCGACAACGGGGCGTATGAGTGATTTCAGTTCGCTTTTCTCGCCTTCCCGCTAATTGCCAGCGCAAACATTTTGCCTCGATTTCGCTAGCGATTACCTTGCGTAATCTGCATATTATTAGAGCGATATCTAAGCGGCCCAAGGGACTTCACCCCAAAATAATGGAAGTCAAGCTTTATGTGTGACCCCTCCCGCCGAAGGACATGATTCAGCAGCTGCAGCCAATGACTCATTCGGAATTGGCCATAAAAAAATGTGATTGCTTGGCAAAAAGTGCATGTTTGTGCAAATTAAGCTGCTACGGGCCTTTTATGGACCATTAAGGGCCAGACAGGCTGTGAATATGTCAACTATACTTGCTATAAACTCCGACTAGTCCCCGACTAACTACTACAGTTTATAAAAATTCTTGTCTATAAAAACTATTTTTCCATTACATTTTACGGCCATTAACCGTCATAAATTGTGGCAGGAGGAAAAGGTCTCACTCGAAGAATAGGTAATTCCTCCAAACAATCTTATCTGTGGGGTAATAAAAGCGGTCAGAATTAGAATTCATCCACAGACTTTGATTTATCGAATGCCCTGAGAAATCCTCGCAGCTGGCGAATTAGATCACTCGGGTTATTCCAGTCTCGCGCTGTGGGTACCTGGATCTCCTACCATTGCCGAACTGAATCATGTTTCGTACTCGTAAATTTTAATTAAATCTCGTTCTACAGAATGCGAGAAAACAAGCTCAGCTCATTTCTGACAGAATCGGAGTTCCCAGTGCAGACAAAAGGCTTTTTTTTCTGGCTCGCTTAGCTGGTAATATTTCATTGGCGTGTCCGACATCGGGCGGCTGTCAATAAACGCTTTTTTGTTGCCGTTTGCCAGCCCAGCCAAGAATCAAATATCGCAGCATTTATGCCATGTCGGCGGCTTATAAATATAGCCACCACACCCGCACCCATCCGCCAATATCGGACGTCACAAATTGGTTGTTTTGTGCCTGTTATCGATCACCAAGCGATTGGTGTCAGAAAAACAATGAGCCCCGGCAGCAATTAGGATTTGGCATGGCTCTTACTGTCAGGTGTTTGGTGTTTGGGCTGTATTTTTAGAAAAACCACAGCGCCATTATAGACACATTTAGCCGGCGGTTCTATTTTTAAAGTTACATTACAAAGGCCCAGAACCGATTGTGAGTGAGGTGTGGGTGAGAGGTCGTTGAAGTGGTTCGGGAGAAAAAGAGTGAAGGGGCTCCACTGCTCGTATGTTTATCTACATTCTGGGCTTTCCACCTGCCCGGAAACAGGATACAACAGCCCAGCAACACTTGCTACGATGGTATCTATTATCTGGAAAAACGATCGCAATGTCCGTGCTGACTAATGCCACTCATTTGAAAATAAAAGTCAAGAATATTCATTTCATATGTAAGCCACAGAGCATCAAAAAGACAAAACTCATTTGCCTGCCACGCACCGCACCACCGAAAAGAATTGAATTCCAATTAAATTATAACAATTTTGAGCTGCCAAAATGCCATAGCTTGGAAGCTGACTCATTTCAAAGAAGCAAATAAATTGAATATGCCAAATTTATTAAAATTCCAGCTAGCTGATAAAAATTCATGTTTCCAATAAAAACAAAGCAGAAGCTGAAGCAGAAGCAGAAGCACAATGAGCAAACAGAAAACCAAATCGAAGCAGCCCAAATAAAATCGAACCAAATAAAACCGACCTGGCCATCACTCCATGTGATGGTGGCGCTGTCGAAATCAGAGACAAAGTTGAAGCCAAGGCAAATATTGTGCCGGACTGTCAAAAGCAGCGAAGCAGCAGTAGATTTGATTTCCCTTTTGGGCCAGTAAATTGAAAAACCCTTACTGGAATTAGCAACAATAATATTTGAGGGAGAGAGTAATAAATTGAAAATATTTGACAGAGGCTGAGCCGCAAAAAAGCAATATAGAAACAAGTTTTATGATTTTTGTGGCTGGTCAACTCAAACAAAATTCATTAGAACAAGTCGAAGCCACAGTCAAGAATGTGGCATATTTATTGGCACGCACACACTGCCATATGTACATATCTGTGTCCGAGTGTGTGTGGTTTTTGCCTAATAATAAAATCAAGTTTACGTTTTAAGAACGACAAAAGCATTATTAAAAGCTGCGATCAGATAGCACTCGAATAGCTGGCAGCTTATTGTCGTACCAGCAGATAATAAATGGAACGAATGAAATGGCCAACGCCTAAGGCCAACTCACGACCGATCTATATAGCAGTACAGCCATGTAGCTATATAGCCATATATCCATATAGCCGCACTTAACAAGATCTTACACGGGGCGCGGCCCAAATAGACAAAGGAAACCTTGGCTTCCAGAACCACAGACAGCAAAAAGAACAGAAACAGAAAAGATTCAGTATCGGAATCGGAATCAGAATCAGATACAGATTCAGACAAAAGGTTGCGAGTGAAGGGTACATACTATATAGCCGTATGCTGTTGCAACTGCAGCTTTGAAGGCCTTGGGTAGTGACACGGCCTGAAGTTGAGTTATGGCCAGGTGATATTTAAATTAATTTATATGTATCTTTGAACTAAATAAACAAACTATGCTAATGCCGCACAGACTTAACCTCAGGTGTTCGCTGGCTGTTTGAGTCGCTGGCTCCGACTGGCGACAATTGTCAGGTAATCTGTTCTAATCGCATTATGGCAATGGAGCTGGCAAAAGCCACGAATAGTAGTAACTGAAACCCAGCACCACCTCCCAGCTCCCTCTTCACCGCTCCTTTCCGTCAATTTTCTGGTCGCAAATTGTTTGTTTAATGAATGTTCGCTTTATTCGCGCGCTTAGGGACTGGATACTATACATACATGTATATATTCAGATGTATGTAGTGGGTATGTGGGATGGGGGCTAAGGGGTTATGGCCACGTTGAAGTGCGCTGTCAACAGCATAAGCACACTCGCAGATACACAGATACAGAGACGTAGATAGAGATACACTGGCAAATCCCCCAACCCGACTCTATCCACGTACAATCTACGAGCACTTGGATGCGTGGGTTAAGCTGTCAAAGAGACAAGACTTATTTCTGCTTATTTTTACATCGCCAGTCCTACCGTCCTCCTGTCCTCCTGTCCGCCCCCTGCCTTCTGTTTGTGTCTGTTGTTTTACTCATTATTCTGCAGCGGTGCTAGTGTGTATCTGTATCTGTATCTGTTGCTCTTAGTCGCTTCGTGACGGGGCAATTCTGTGTGCAGTTCTTGCCGTTTCTTCGCTTTAGTCTGGGTATTTGCATTGCATTTAATTGCCGACATTTCATGCTAGATAAATGGCTCCCAGCAAGGTTAATAAATATCTCGAATCACACTCACACACAGCCAGCGCCTTTTCAAATAGGTGCAACATTTCAATTATGCTACATTCTTTTGCCCCAACTCCCATGCCCCCATGGCTTAATGTATGCGCAATATCGGGATGCTGAAAGCCAACTGTATCGTTCTAGAATGTTCCGGCATATTGAGGCTTTTGTGGTCATAGAAACACCACGTCCAGTCTATTAATTAACACTTTGAAGTTAATCGGAATGAGAAATAATAGGTTTTCATATTTGCAAAATATCAAAGTGATATATTTATTTGCAAATCATTATGCGAAATGTTTACTATATAATTAATAATCCACAAAGGACAAGGAACGTAAGGAATTTATACAAATAGTTTCTCATTGTGCAACTACTACTACTCAATATGCCACACAATAACCTGGCTGAGAACTATTCGGACACTTTTCCGACAGACAACCTGAGTGGCACTTGCAACCTGCCTGGGACCCACACCCTAACCTTTAATGGCTCAAATGGCAAGGAATGCGCTTTTGTCTGGGCACTGAGCCCTGACAAACCTATGTATATAATCCCCATCCCAATTCCATTCCAAGACCCTCCCGCTACTCCTGGCTGATGCTCATTATGCGCTGCACGCAGTGACAATTATTCTGTAGGTAAGACGTTGCAAAGCCAACTCATTTCAATTTGCATAAAAGCCAGGCGACAGATCGAAGTACAGAGCTGCCGTGGCAGCAGTACTCGAGCTCTTGCTGGCACTGCTTCTTGCCACAACAATGGGCTTGTGGGTAGCCACACCCAAAAAGGTGATTATTATTGTATAATCGGTTTGATTGATAACCCATCCAGCATTAGATATGTGTATCTTAAGCCGTAGGGCTTAAGTCAGGCGGGCGAGGAAATTCTGAAATGAACCAACTTCATGGCGAATCGAAGAAAGGCTTGGCGCTGGGAGGAAAAGAAGACCCGACAAGTTGAAGTATTTATGTCATGTCGAGTTTTCCTCCGCAGTCTTCCAAGACTCGGCTTAGTGGGGCTCAGCTGCGAAAGCGGCAGCAAATGCGCTTGCATTTATAATTGTTGGTAGTAGTATTTATTTTATTATGTCCATAACTATAATGAGACATGAGTGGGGCTTCAACTTGTTCGAGAGATTGGAAAAGCAACAAGCGTCGGGCTGCCACGAAGAAGCTGCAACGACGTGCAAAATCGCGGCAAAGACACATTTCCATCAAATCAATCAAAAATGGTAAATACAAGTTTTTTTTCTGTATTTTCTTTTATTGCAAAAACGTCAAAGACTTGGAGCTTAAGTAGGTCCAACAAAAAGTATCTCTACTGCCGGGCTACCGGGCTATGAGGCTATGAGGCTGTGCTGTGCTTCTGCCAATGTTGTATCTGTTAGATTGGAATGCACTTTCCGAGTGAAATGCCAGGCCGACATGGCAGCTCTTACTATTTGCGCCACTGTTTGTTGTCATGCCATAGTTGACAATCATTTAGAATCACTTCTTGCAAAATGAAAGCATCTTTTGAAAGTTGCTAGCTCTCTAGTTGCTGCTGGGAGATGGGAGCTGGGAGCTGGCTTTTGCTACTCTTGTTGCTGTAGCTGCTACTGTTTTTGTTATTGTAATTAAAGCGAAATGCCATAAGACAAATGCGAATGCGAAAATGTAACTGGCAAGTGTTACTGGCACTGCTTTGCTGCCTTGAACTAACTGCTCTGCCTGCCAGCGACTCTCACCCAGTGACACGCATTCGCATTCGCATTGGCACTTGCAAGATACATATGTTCGCATTCGCGAGATACATCTGCCACCTACACGAGGCTCTGGGCTAATTAAAAGCCGCATCCGTCGAACTGCGCATAATGTTCGAGTGGCAAACAGGGCCACCAGATACAGATATATTCGACGACTGATAACAGGCAGTGGGGGGTCGAAAGGTTATCAGCCCGCTGCCAGCATCTTTGCCTGTAGTTTATTTATTTTTACTTTTAGCTACAGATACTGTATCTGCTATTGAGAAGGTGTGTTTTTTTTTTTCAACTTACCTCACTGCTCGGCATGTACAGCATTTTCTCATACTCCATTTCTTGGCTCTTGTCTCGTTAATAACTCCTGGGATATGAATAAATATATGGATGATTTACTTCTCAGGCTGGTAGCTGGCGCTGTAGCTCTAGCTGTATCTGTATCTTTTCACAGGTCGCTCGTGGCTGGCGTGTGCATGCAAAAATCTAAAAATCAACCTCGCCTGCGAAAGTATCTCTCGGGCTGTCGTCGGCTGTCTCGTTCTGGCTCGCGGAGCGCCGCTCTCTCCTTCTCTGTCTGGCTCTTTCACTTGTTGCTGTTTTGGTTTTTGGCTTTTCGAAATGTTAAACTAGATTCACTCAAAAGTGGTCGTTGCTTTTGTTATATCGGCTGTCTAAATTGTTTTTCACTGCCTTTGTGTGGTTCATAATGAGTTTCGTCGATTTTTGATATTTATTGATAGTCTTTAATGTTTCTCGACTGATTTAAACACTGGTAGCTACTAGATAGTTGTCTGTTGCATTCGCTGGATCACTGAATGTCTGGATGATCACTGCATTTCGTTACTAAATTTTCCACTGGCAAGCTTGTTGCTCTCTCTTTCACTCGGCTGTCTTTGTCTCTGTCTCTGGGGCGGTCTATGGTCCGCTGTCAGCAACCGTTCGCAAAGTCTTCACGCTCAATTCTGTGAGCGGTGTGTGCCACGATCGCTCCGCTTACCTCATGCTTTCGGATCTGGTGGAGCTTTTGAGCCGCCAAACTGGTTCGCAGCCAATCTTGAGCCAAGCTTTTGGCCCCCTGTCTCCGGTCGACCCCCTCAAGCTTTTTCCACGGCACTATCGATGGCAACAAAAGTCCATCAATTTCGCGATGAAATTTATTGTTTCACATAAAGTGGCACGGGCAGAAACTGTCACTGCAACAGTGATTGAATCGACCACACCCACAGCCCGCAGCCCCCACAACTCGGCCAGATTCTGACAGTAAGGCGGTCAGAAAAAAACAAAAAAACACCGTGTCTGGCTAACCAACACAACCCGTCAGCTACGAGATACAAGATACGAGTGCATACAGCTGTCAGTAGTGTGTGTGTGTGTTTGAAATGGCTCCAGCGTACTGCTGCACGTCAACTGCATTATCATTTCCGCTTCCGTTCCACAAGACGCAAAGACGCCGGAACAGGGACCGACACACACACTCTCGCACACAAAGCCACGAATCGGTAAAAGTCGAAATACAATTTTGTTTGGCATTTATATTTCATGGCACAATGACAATTTCAATGGATCTACTCTCTTTTTCCCCTTTTCCTGACAACTCATAAAAACAGTGACGCCGTCTGAAGGCCAAGCACAGTGCTATCCTTTCCCGAAATGTCCTGCCGGACATCGACCTCAGGAGAATGTAATTATTTTGGACTCGGAGTTCCAAGGAATTCAGCATTCAATTTTACAGCTTAAAGTGTTATCCTCTTACTTTTTAGGACTTAAGGATAATAGGAGAGATCCTGAATTGATTTAGGAATCTTATTATTTTGTTCTTAGGCTTTTAAGCTTTCAGTGGCTATTAGGCTATTAGTTCAATTCTCATTAAAAATTTGTGAAAAGCCATCTCGCCTTGTCTGAGCAGGCGCCGGTGGGCCCTGTCGGATGATTTCTAACTGGACAAGCCTGCAATTGTTGGACTGCCGCCGAGCTGGGCCAATTGCTTCGTGTGGCAACAGGAAGCTGCGTCGTCTAAAATGAAAGACATGTCAACAGCAATTGGCACTCAGCTATCCTAGAGCGGCAGGACAGGCAGCAGCCAGGTCGCCGATGGCCATCATTATGCCGGATGTTGAATGACTGACCCACCGAGCTTATCGCCGGACTAGCCAGCCATCCGGACTCGCCCCCAGCTAGCCGGTTATCGCAAAATGGATCTGTTGCCTCGGTGACGGACAGATGGCTCAAAGGAGCACCGTTCTAATGGCGTGCCGCGACCACCGCGGGATGCGGCTAGGGCCAGACGTTAACCTATCTGTTCCGCATTGGTCACAAAACGTGCCAAAGTGGCAGGACCAGCAAAGGCTGCGACAAACAGCTGAATCAGCCCCTGGGGTCGGACGAGCGTTCAATAGGGAAATGTCCGTGGTGACGCCTCCGCGGGCTGCCTGGACTGGGATTAATCAGGTGGGAATAACCCTAGCTTCTAGGGTTTTAATGATGAGCCTTGATCCATAGAAAACTCGGGCCACGAGCGGAAACCTAATAAAGCCTCCTCAAAGGAAATTGAATTTAAATTTCAGGTGAAACTACTTTAAGAAAACAAACATCTAAAAACAGGTGTTTTCAACTGAGGGTTTACTTTAAAACTTAGTATACAACAGGATAGCTAGCTTGCATTGAAGCCATAGTTTACTATTTTGCACACACAGTGTAATAACAACCTTAAACTTTCATTTGCAGCAGTCGGAAACATCAGGATGCCCAAGTCCCATAACAGTCTCTACATTTTCGAGTGAGGCATTGGATAACCCATTGAATCACCGGTGGCGCCACTAAGCATCATTTAATCAGCCTGCTGCAAGATAAATCAGTTCCCAATTGAGGCCTTGTAGACCTGAACACTGACTGTGGTTGCAGGATAACCTGTGGCTGGCTCTGTGCAGTCGAATCAAGCCAAGTATTGAGTCCGGAGAGTTGATTTGATTTGCTGGACATCGACATCATGTTTCCCCTTATGAGACCGGGTGATCCAACCTAATGCAAGAGGGATGGGGCGGCATTGCAGGGGCTGCCAATGGGATCTCACACTGATTGGTCTTAAATCAAAGCAAGGATTAATGCGCTGGGAGAGGGCCGCCGTCCCAGTCCCAGTCCAGCCCCACGCCCCTTTGGACGAATACAAATAGAGGGCCAGACTCACTTTAAACGCAGTGCCGCACAGTCAGACACACAGGCAATGCGGGAAGGAAGAAGGCAGCATCAAGCCTCACACATGGGCGGGGGCTCTGAAAGGGGGCGTGGCAAAGACGTGAGGCGTGACAGCACATGCAGCCGGATGGATGGTCAATGAGACACTTCCGGTGTAGGAGGCCACAGCCGGAGCATTGATGTAAATGAAAGCCGTTACGCTTAAGCCGAGCACAATGCCCCAGCTCGCACTCCGGAAGCACTGCATCCACAATGGACAAGGGGTAGGCGGTGGGTGGTGGAAAAGGCTTTCGGGGAGTCACCTCCCATCTCAAACGGCCGGATTGTTGAGCAAACTGTTGCACGCCCTTTGGACATCCGAGTAGCAGTGCGATTCTCCGGGGACTAGAGCTGTTCATTTGACTTTTTTCCGGTCAAGAGATGCGAGTTTTACAGAACCATCTGAGTTCTTGTATCAGGAATCTAAACTAAGAAATATTTAAGCTCTATTTACTTTAAGCAAGTGTCACATAACATTCTGGCTAATTACCTCTGCCAATACTTCCTATTTGTATATTTTTCCATTAAATATTTACCTCAACGTTAAATCCGATTAATAAAGAGGATATTTTTATTTAAATACCAACAACTAAATGAAAAACATGCATATTTTATTGATTTTTCTTGACAATTTTTATCGCATTACTTTAATTGCAAACTGCATTTTTTGGCAGACCTTTTCATTCTGATCATTTCAATGAAAAGCTTTCTCTAGGATGGCCTTTTGTGACCAAAAACCCGGCAACACTGTGAATGTGAGGGGATTGAGCCACCAAATCCCAGCTAGTGGCAGGAGTTTGTCTGAATTCGTTGAATCGTTGCGGTGTCAGTTCACATGGAAATCCGCTCGAAAGCCATTCACAAATGTAATCCGCTGGCCGGGCCGGCTCAATATGCGGGCATGTAAATAATTGCCACCTCCGAACGGCTCACCACCGCCAGGGCCACCGTTAGCGATTTGTCCAATGCCCCAAAGGGTACTTCACGCGATTCCGTCCGTGCTCCGCCGTGCCGTGTAATCACCGGAATGCTGGTCTCCGGCCAAAGGAGCGCGACATTTTGAGTGTCGGCTCAATGAGCCGGCGCGTTGATTTCAAATAAATAAAAATGTTAATTTTAAAACGGGGCGCACCACCTCACCAGCCCAGCCCACTCCTGTGATGCGCAGCTCTTGGAAATTACAGTTATTCGCTGTACGTGTTTAATTATTTTTAAATCACGGTTCGAGGACGGGCACAGGACCACCACTGACAGTGCCACCACGGCGGACGATGTGTTTTCGCAGGCGAATCACGTGCCGATTGTCAGCTATTCCAGATCATTCGGCGTGGCCCACAACTGTCCACTTAAAGTATTATTTCTATGGAAGCCCTGTAACCTTAATTGCACGGACTATTTCATGCGGTTGAATTTGCATTTGTGTTTTTTGTAAATAATAATTATGACCTCTTTGTCGAACGGTCAACCGGAAAGCGGGGGCGGCGGCCAACCTGCACTTGACGCAACTTTAATGCATAATAAATGGAGCAAATAATAAATTTTAAGGACCCAAGGCAGGGAAATTTCCTTGGGTTACGGCTTAAAATGAAAGGAACTGACCCCCGAACAGACACACATACGCACGTCACACACCCAGACAGGAATGAAAAGTCAAAGGTCAAGCCACATAGAAAGCGAATTACTTTGTGGACTTAAGCCGAAATTTATGTTTTCGCAAATAAACCACAAGGCCAGTGGGTAAATGCAATGCCGTTATGCAAATGACAAACTCACTGACCGTATCTGGCTGGTTGTCTTTCCGTCCTTCCGTCCGGATAGAAGTTGATTAATTTTCTGCAGTCGGTTGTTTTTTGGGCGAATTTCTGTGTTTGTGTTTCCTCGGCCGCATAATGAAACCTTTTGTCAAGTTGTGGCTTCATTGTCTCTGCTATTTATTAATTAATCCAAACGTTTTATTTGTGTTTCCAGACAAGGAAGTCCGTCAAAATCCACTTCCCCTTTCGAAATTATTCGGTTTAGGGGGAAGTTGAAGAGTAGAGGCTTTTCCCGGCGTGTCCTTTTTGGGATTGGATTGCCGCAAAAGGCACAACATCATCATCGAATCAATCTCTTTTTCGTTTTCCATCAAATAATTAATTGCAAATTTGCGGTTCAGTGCAATCAGTTGACTTTGCGAAGGCCCCTGACCCGATTCCTTTCCTGTATCCCATACAAATTTGATAGAGAAGTTACGTTGGGAGGACCGACATGCTCTTTTCGATTTTAAAAATGCTCGAGTGAAGAGCAGCAGCAAGGCCAAGCTGCTTATGCAAAAAGGCTGACAGTTTCTAGAAACATCTAGCTACATAAGCTCTTATTTATTTCTTGGAATTCGCCATCATTTTGCCCCCACTCAGCAGTGACGTCAATGACAAGTCACTTGAACCAAATCGTAATCATGTAGAGCTCATTTGCCTTGAAAGCCGAGTGCATGCAATTGAGAAAGAAGGCTAACAGGATAACAGGTGAACGCCTTCAGTCGTCAGTAGTCGGACTCCAGGACCTCTCCGGCATCCAGGTCGCCATCATTATTGCCAGCGATAAAGATAATGGCCATTCGTGTATAATGTTGCCAGGAATCAATTGAATTATGGCGCAGCTCAAGGGCTCCCGACATACAACCGATGGAAAGACAGTCCTTCATACCTAGTCGAACTAGTCAAGACAATCGAGTAGCAAATTGCGTTGC